TTTTTTTTGGTGGTGTTTTTTCTTTTTTTCTTCCTACTTAATCAGAAGGATTTATGAAGAATAAATAAAAGAGTATCTGAGCTTTTCCAATTTGTCAAAGCAGCCTTTTTCCTAGATATATCTACACTACTTCTCCCCTGTCAAATTTTGAAGCCCTATTTAAAGTCATTCATGTGCATCTTGAATAATACCAGTATGAACTGTCAAGGATAGACCTGGGACCTGTTTTGTGATGGTCTTAGTGGTGTAGACCTGAGGTGAATCCTCCCTTACAGTAGGACTTGAGTGCTAGATAGACTGAACAGAATGTGACATAGAAGGTAGGAGGAATTTATAGGGTTTAGTTTGACTCTAGATGTTATCCTGTTGCTTGGAGAGAAAAGCAGGAGCCTCACAAAGCAATGCAGGTGATGGGGAGACCGGCAGTGAGGGGCAGAACGCTGGTGGAGGTCCTGCCCGGGAGGATGTGTGGTGGCAGTTAAGTCACCTCTTGACAAAACAGAGGGCCATGAAAATTAGTGGAAAATGTAGGTCTGTGCTGGATTCACTCTCCTGCATAATATCTGTTAGTGTGTAAAGTTTACAATAATTGATAATGCAGTTTAGCAGCTCTGTACTGTGCTTTGTATTATAAACTGTGCTACAGCGCAAGCAGAGCCTGTGGCTAGCCCAGCATGTTGTTCAACTGCAGCTTTCTTTTCCAGAATGGCAGTCCTTGGAAGCTATGTTCCAGGGGTGTTTGGTTCCTTCCCACAGCTGTAAGTCATTGCAGCAGCAGCGCTAACCTGATCAAAGAGGAGAAACACAGCCTGCCATAAGCTATTAAGTTAAAGCCTGGGACAAATCTCTGTTTTTGTCTGTCTTCAACTTGTCTCTTGTTTCTTGCTTGTTCTTCAAGCTCATTCTGGCTTTGAATTGGGCTAGACCAGCTGAATGGAAAAGGGAGGGAAGTATATTCCCGTATATTTGGGCAGAAACAGGCAGTTTTTGCAAAACTGGGGAAGATCCAAAATGTACAGTGGTTTTTTTTTTTCATACGTTCTTCTGCCAAAGTTACAGAAAAACAAAACAGTGAGAGTTTTTGGAAACCCACTTACTTTATATAGACTACATAACACACTTCCTCTCCAGGGTTCATACTTTGCTCTGCGGTGGAAATCTTCTCCCTTGCAATCGTAAGCCAGCTGTTGTTCAGTTCTCTTAGGCCAGTTGCATGAAATCCCCTTTGAAGAAACTGTATTCAGTTCTGGATCTGAATTTCAGCTGGATTTCAGAATTGTAACAAAGTAGTACTGGAGGTCAGTAATGGTTGATCTGTTGGCATTATTGCTGAGTAATACATTGCAATGCAGAAAGTCCTGTGTACTGCAGGTGGGGGTGATGCTGCTGTCCTTAGCCCAGCTGAAAGACTGCAAGAAAAACACCTTGGTCAAGGTCAAACCTTTTGATTTTTGGCAGGTGTACCATTCTTTTGCCCTGTATCAGGGCTGATGATTTTCAGATACCAAGGTAGATGTGTGGAATAAGAATACACCTGCACTCGAATGAGGAAGATGTGATGCTGTCATTAAATCCAAATATTCTGATTCTTCAGCTAGAGACTAGTCTGAGACATGATTCCAATCTTACTGTGTCATGGCTTCATGCTGTGTAAAATGAACCTTAAAGTGGTTTGCACATTAATGCTCTTATATGTAGATCTCAAATACGAAGGAACCTTATACTATGGATAATTTAACCATTTATACATGTTTTGATGCTTTGGTTTGGTGTGGTGTGCTTCTACCCCAAGGCATTAACTTTTAGATATGGTTCAACAAGAAACCAGTAGGCTTATGACTACATTCTTACATGACCTTTGCCAAACCCATGCATGTTTCTGTTTTGGAGTAGTGCTGACCTTTTGTTGTGGTCTTGAGAGTTGAATTTGATGAACTCATAAAGGCAGGTGAAGTTTTTCATTAATAGATATTATGAAGTTTAGAGCCTTCTGAAGTTTTCAGCATATTATAGAGGTTGAAGAGGAAATCTATATATTGTCAGGATGCAACACAGTTTATGGGCAACTAGATTTCATTGAGAAATATCTCTTCAGAAGAAGGTCAGTGGCATTGTGTTTTGGAACAAGATCCATCTAGAGCTTCCCAGTGACAGTCGCCTAAATCGTCTTTCAGTCCTACTCTATTTCATGTGCTAAGTTTTGGAGTGTGTGGGTTGTTGGGGTTTTGTTGTTGTTGTTCTTAAACACACAAACAGTTGTTTAAAAGGGAAAATAGATTGTTTTACTGAAAATACATGCAATGTGAAAATCAATTTCAGATAGACAGAATCTGAAGGAAAAAATATCCCAACTGTGGAAGGTTAAAAAAAAAAGTATGTAAATAGAAAGGGAAACCGTATTAGATCAATAGTATTGATTGAAGTTTTTCTCCTAGAAGGGTATAGGATTTTACATGGTAGTAAAGCGTGATTTAATATGTCATTTTTCAGCATAGAAGGACTCTCTGTATGACTTTTAAAATTTGAATACTCCAACTACTTGTTTTGAACACAGAAGCATTAAGATTAAATTAAGCTAATGGCTACCTTTTATTTATTTTCAGCTATGATGTTATCTTTGCGGGGGGCCCTGAAGAACTGTTAAAGAAATTTCAGGAAACTAATCATAAAGTGGTGTTTGCAGCAGATGGACTAATTTGGCCGGATAAAAGGCTAGCTGACAAGTATCCTGTTGTCCGGAGTGGAAAACGATTCCTGAACTCAGGAGGCAAGTGTAATTCTTGAACACATTAAACTGTTGAACTTGAACACGATTCACTTCTCTTATCTGTTTTATGTATTTGTATGTGGAACTGTTCTTGAATTCCCCGAGTATAAAATCAAGGACTGGTTTTGCTATTCTCCTCTTCCCCTCTCCCTCCCCACTTGAGTAGCTCCTCATCTGTGCTCACAAATAGTTTTCATTCAAACTTATGTAGTATTTGTTGTCCATAACTTGTAAAAAGCAGGTAAATAAAGTAACAGCCTAGCAAGCAACTGTGCCTTGCAATGAAACCTGTGCAGGGGTGACCCAATTGCCACTGATTGAATCTGCTTCGGAAACAAGGCACAGTTTAGCTGGGTCTCAGAATTTCCTGACTTGGCTACTTTGTTCCTGGGGATCTCTGCATACAGTATAGATGTTCTGGTAGTTCTGCTTGGTCCATCAGCATAATTTAGGCAGTTAATTCCAAGAGAAGTATCAGTTACTCCTGCTAATCTCAATGACATGTTAATTCTGGAGTCCTCCTTTAAACGCCAGCTTTGGTAGTAATTTTGCAGTTGATTAATACATGCACTGACACAGATATTGTTTAACTGCTGCAGACCCCACAGTATATCGCTTCTCCTAGGAACATGGTGCTGGGTAGCGTGTAGATCTGGGAGTGTCCCCATTCCTTTCCTTCCTTTCTTTACGTCACCTGTCTGCCCTGTGTATTTTTTTTGTTTGTTTGTTTTGGCTTAAACATAACGTATTGGTTTTAAGCTGAATTCTCTTTGTAGTTTCGGCAGTGGTGGATTCAGGCTTCTCTGCCAGCAAGAAGTGATTGATGAAAATGAAACTTTTTCCACAGATAGGCTGCTTGGGAACAGTAGTAGTCTAATCTCATGCTTTGGAGTTCTCAGGACCATCATAAACAGATCTGTTTCCTATTTTTTCCCTTAAAATAGCATTATTATAAAAATATCCCTTAATTATGAGCTCTTTAAAACAGAACTGGTACATATCACAGGGATTTTGAGCCAGGTTGTATGAATTTCATACTTTTCCTTTGCTGGCACAAAACAGTCGTAATGAAGTCCCTGACTGGTGGACAGCATTGGCAGAGTACTGCTTTTTATGGAAATAACTTATGTGTGTGATATTGCAGGATTTATTGGTTATGCTCCATATATAAATCGTATTGTGCAGCAATGGGATCTGCAGGATAATGATGATGACCAGCTGTTTTACACCAAAATCTATGTTGACCCATTGGCAAGGGTAGGTGGTGACTGGCTTTCTCATTTCTTTCTACTTGAAATAACGTGCTGCTCCTCATAAAACATCAGGAGATAAAAATAAAAGGAATGCTTCTCTTTATTCCTGAGTGCCATGTTGACGGTTGTGTTTGTTCTCTGGATGTTCCTACTGTCGGAGTGATGAACAAGCTTCCAAAGGGTCATGACTTGATATATTATTTCAGGCTGTCTGCAGATCCAGGCAGGTTGTGCTTCGTTGTCAGAAATAATAGCTCTGAGGTATATGATTGGACACATTCATCTCAATGAGGGTCCTACATATTTGGCAGTTTGATGGCTGGAGAATGTGGCATTTTTCCAGGGTGTCACTGAACTACTTGCTGATCCAGTGTTTTATATATTGGCTTGCTGCCATTTCAGATCCTGCCTGCAGCTGCCTCTCACTCTTCAGCTTTTTGTGCAGATACATTCAATAAAGCCACATCATAAATTTTTGGTGAGGACCTCTGTGTGTCCTAGCTTAACAAAGTTCTTTGCTGAGTAGCAGCAGTAAAGCATGATAGATGTCAGAGGCATGGCCCTGACGCTGGAAAAAGAGGGCTAAGGAAAGTTAACAATGTTTTGACATAAAAAGACTTTCAGAAGCTGATATTGCAGAACTTTGAGGTTGATTTTGAGTATTTGTATGCTTAAGGCAGATGTGAAGTTTCTGAAATACACACATGTTTTTCTATTAAGTTATGCCTGAAACATCAGGCATGCTTAGATAGAGGTACAGGAATAGAATAGAATATTTCAGTTGGAAGGGACCTACAACAATCATCTAGTCCCACTGCCTGACCACTTCAGGGCTGACCAAAAGCTAAAGCATGTTATTAAGGGCATTGTCCAAATGCTTCAAACACTGACAGGCTTGGGGCATCGACCACCTCTCAAGAAAACCTGTTCCAGGGTTTGACCACCGTTTCAGTAAAGAAATGCTTTCTGTTGTCTGGTCTAAACCTTCCTTTGCTCAGCTTTAAACTATTCCCACATGTCCTATAACTGTGTCCCAGGGAGAAGAGATTGGCGCCTCCCTTTCCAGTTCCCCTCCTCAGGAGGCACCCTTCAGCCTCCTTTGCTCCAAACTAGACAAGCTCAAATTTCTTAGCTGCTCCTCACTGGCATTCCTTCCAGCCCTTAATGTCGGAATTGATTTTATGCAAGTTAAGTCAGATGCTAGCTATGCAATTGAAAGGACAGGGTGTAGAGACATTAAAGCTGACTCTGCACCCAAGTCAGAAGCAATACAATTAGCTGTCTCAACAGATTGTCTTCTAGACAAAAACCGTGTACCTCTGCACAGTGCATTACTGCACTATGATTCACAATGCCTCCATGGCACTTAGCTTGGGATACTGTACTGTGCACTAGCACTAATTTTCTGTATGGTAATGTCCAATGCTGTAGAATATGTAACAGATTCTAGGAAGACCAAAATAGAGGATGTTATCTGTATAAGGGATTTTAAGTGTGTTTTAAGGGTTATATACTTTGATCAACTTGTTAAAACTTCAAAGTACTTTAAATAAGAATCTAAGTAGTCTTAATAATACAATATTAGGAACATGTTTTAAAAACAGTGGTGTTTTCTATTCTGACATGGTACTTAGATTTGACTGTTGTAATTTCTGAGACTCTGAAACACAGTATGTTTTGTTGCTTAACGAAGACTTGTTAATTTTTTTTTTTTAACATAAGACACAAATTTTCTTTGGCTTATACTGCCAAATTGAAGTTTCTTTACAGAGCTTTGACCTTTATCCTTCAAATTTAAATAAAGTCTTTGCATATATAAAATTGATTGCTGTACAGCTGCACAACTCAGGAATACAGAGAAACTTAACAATATAAAACCAAGAATTATATCTGAGCTGAATACATAGTTTTGCCTGATTACTTGCCACTGCAGTATAACTGTAACATTACCATAAAAATATTGGCTTTTAGAATGCCTCAGCATCTTTGCTACTTTTATTTCAGGAACGCATTAACATTACTTTGGATCACAAATGTACAATTTTTCAGACCCTAAATGGAGCTGTTGGTAAGTGTATGATTTTCAAATTGTGCGTTTTATTAACTGTTATTAACACTTTCTTTGCCTAATGGTGAATATCATTCCCTAAACATTCTCATTTTAAAGAAATATTTGGATGGGTAAACTTGATTAGCAGTTTACTTACAGGTTTGTTGGGTTTAATATTAATGGATTTCGCCTATTGATAAAATACTTAATTTTAGAAAGAATAATTTTCAATAAATTAAATTAGCAAGAAATATAAAGTTAAGAACTATTTTTCCATCTGCCTTTCACAAACATAATTACAGGAGTAAGATTAGTAATTAAAATTGCATTTTAGATATACTTAAGCAAATGACTATACATGATGAAGTGAAATATGGAAAAATAATGGAATTTCCTTTATTTAGTTGTCATGAATTCAAGTGAAAAATGGCACCTGTGCAAACTTCCTTTCTTACCTTTAACCTGCAGTTACAGAACAAATGTTTATAGTCAGATGATATATATTAAATAACTGATTTCTCTATAAATAGCATTTACACAGAAATAGATTTTAAACTACTTTTAAAGCAGATTTTATTCAAATACTGAAGGCTGCTGATGGCAAATACTGAAGCTTGGTGTAACCTTACCTAGCATAAAGAGCTTAGCATTCAAGATCTAGTTAATAAAATGAACAAAAGCTTCCAAATAAGTAACATTGACAACTGTGGTCACAGCAGGGTATGCTGTATCAGCTAGAACTTCAAGTTAACTGTGAAATTTTAGTTTTTATTTATAAACTGTTACTACTATGTGATCTTTGCTGATTTTCAGATGAAGTCCTTTTGAAATTCGAAGAAGGAAAAGTAAGAGCGAGGAATTCAGTGTACGACACACTACCGATCACAATTCATGGAAATGGTCCAACTAAAGTGAGTGACTGTTTATATTTTTGTGCAGAGATGGCAATATTAATAGAGGCAAAAAAAGATGGTTGAAGAGTCTGAAACAGTCATAGCACACCACCATTGCTCATCTCCAGTAAATGTTAATAAGAATTGCAAGTATAAAACCTCCATTCTAATGGCTCTCTCCGTCATGTTATTCAGCAGTCTCTTGAGATTGCTGCTGAAACAACCCACTCTACTCCCACATTCATGGTAGCATGCGATATTAAAAGCGAGTAAGCTTACGTTAATTTGTTAACTATCACAAAACAATTCTTGAAGCTAGTGGAGAATGTCTATCTGGTTATTAAATGGTAATCAGAAGAATACGTTTTCAGAGGGAGAAAGATCTGACCAAGAATCACGGCCTGGGGTACAAAACAGGAACACATTTGATCCTTGGTTTGTGTCATGAGCTTTGGGTTCATGGTAGAACACCATCTGGCCTGTGAAATAGCTGTTTTGGCTGTTTCTCTCCCTGTGGAAGAATTCAGTGGTCAAGAGGACCTGGCACTGCTTCTCTGGAGAAATGGCTACATTTTGGTCATATGGCAGTTGCATTTTTTTTATGTGGCAAAGAAGCGTGGAGGTGTATCATTTCTAATAGCTTCTGTTGGCTGAAGAATTGGGCATGGCTGCTTTCTAAGTTTTTCTGAATACGCCTTCCTTACTGTAGCTCCTTATTTTCAGAAAAATGCCTCCCAGGAGAATGAAATAAATCTCAAAACTCATTAATATCCCAATGACTGATTCGTCTTGTTTTTTGCACTGTATTTCATTGTTGGAATTAATGAATATAATGATGCCATTATCTGTTCGGCTTATAACCACTCAGTAGTGGTGAAACATACGATCAATTTCTGCCATGTTGCTGCAGTTATTTTTACTTCAATTGCATGCTCAAGTTATCTTTCTTCACTGGCTTTGCTGGCTCTTTGCCAATGAAAAGAAAGGTACTGTATCTTACAGTTGGGCAAACAGTTTAGGCTGAAACTCCTTGTATTAATCCACAAGTGATGCTACATTAAACAAAACTCCATCTCTGCACGCAGTGATGTAGTTTAAAAAACTGTGTATCAGTTTGTCAGTATGATTAGATTTTTCTGTTTTAAACATAGAATAGAAGGCGACAATAATAATATGGGACTGGAAAAAGTTTTCCCTGGTTAGTAAATAAATCAGCATGAAAGTAATTCCAAGAATTAACTCCAAATAGTAAAAGTCTTTTTACGAATGTTCTATTTTGCAGTTAATCTCTTCAGTTTGCAGATTAGTAACTAGCATCATTCAGAGACACCTCTTTGAGGTGGATACTGAATTATCCTGACATCCTAATGAGTAATTTTTTAAGTGCACTGGATTTTTTTTGTGAAATACTCTGTTTTGTAGAGCTTATTGTACATCTCTGAAATTCAGTTCAAGCAATTCTATTTATAATCTGTCAAGAATGATTTTGCATGAACAAAAGTGCAAAATACAATAAAATTCAAATTGAGTATTGGGCTGGAGTGTGTTTTCTAAGCAGAATTGTATTCTGTCCTTCCAGTTTTTGATGAGGGCAGTAGAGCAGGAATTAATAGCAGCCTTCACTCAGGCAGACTTTCCTCAGCATAAGGGATCCTTTAGCCACTGCAAATGGCAATAGAGAGTGGAGCTCTGCAGAAACTTTCTGTGGAATCCAGGAGGACAGGGCAGCCCAGGCAGGCCACTGACAGAAAAAGTACGTATTTTGTTCAGTGCCAGTTCAAAATGTGTTAAGAAGCTAGATGCTGCTTTAAAACGCATCCCTCTGGCTGGCTTCTGAATCTTGGCGTGGATTGTAAAAATACGTCCTCTGGGCGCCTATCTTCTACATTTTCTATGTGTTTTTCATATGGTCACTCTGTGTTTTATGAAGTGTTGATGATCCTCAAATTTGGGAAAAGAATTAAACTTTCTTTTTTTTTTTGTCTTGAAGTCAGCTTTTGAGAGCTGAGTGATCTATGGTCTTTGTCTTGGATGTCATACAAGCATTTAGCTGGTAGCTGTTATGCTTGCAACAACTTTTTGTTTTAACTGCAATGAATCAATTAAACAATAAATGTAGATGCCACGAGAACATAATCTTTGTTTTTTAAATGAAAAGAAGAAAAAGCTTTTACTGGATATTTCTTTATGTTTGTGTTTATGGTTCTTTTTTTAATCTTAAAGGTAATTAACTGTCTTTTTTAGGTATAGAGGATTCAATGAGTAATTCTTTAAGAGGTACAGATCACCATTTGAATGCATGTTTCATTAATCTGCATCGTTCATTTATTTACCAGATTCACTTGAATTATTTGGGAAACTATATCCCCAATTCTTGGACACGTGAAACTGGTTGCAGTATTTGTGATTTAGACTTACTAGACCTGTCAACAGTAACGGTAAGAATACTTTTCACAAGAACAAAATCCTTTTGAATGCATTTGATAGGTGTATAGTGACTTCTGAGGCAAAGCAGCTTCCATATGAAATATGATGTTCTGTAAACACCTCAGGATATTTTTTCTGGTGTATGAAACTGTAAAGATAGAATTTTAATTTTCTGGAAATGTCAGTACTTTAAGAAATGTTTTTATGCATGCATTTTACTACAGGTTTCCCCAATATTACTCAAGAAGATCCTGTCCACAAAAGCCCTGCAGATCCTTACCTCTGTTCACTGAGGGTGCATGAATTGTTTTTGAATCATGCAAGATTCAAATGAATAATTAGAATTTTTGGAGGTAGAAAAAAATCTTTAATTATTTCAGATTTTTAACTGCAGACCTACAAAAAAACTTGAATATGCATCAGTTTAATGCTTTTTGTTACAAATAGAGGTTAACAGTTAACTGTTACATGTTTACAGTTACTGTTTTCTGAGCTACATAGAGAAACAGTCAAAACTGCTTCTCCTTGTAAAGGTTGATACAGATATATGTACTCTATGTACAAATATATATCTGTAGATTAAATCAGATATAACTGAAATCGGTTATCGGTTCAATCTTCAGAATTCTCACAGGACAGACATACATGTGTGTTATACCAAATATTTGTGAATTTATTTTGGCTCTTGGCTCCAAGCAATGGTGTCTTTAGTGTCTTTACGAATATTTCAACTTGTACTCAGTAAGTTTTACACAGAATAAATACTAAGATCTACTGTGTGGAAATGTAAGGCTTGTGCTGAGAAGATCATTCTGATTATTCTTAACAGCCTGTTTCTAGCACGTTTCATTTCTGTTCTGTGTTGAAGATGTGAATGAGGACAGGTCTTACAGGGTCATGTTGAGGATAGTATGAAAGAAATAGTGGCTTGTTATCTTTGTAATGAAAGGACAGAGTAAAAGAATTTCTGCACAATAGGCAGCTTATGGACTGGAATATAAATTTTAAAAGTTCTTGTTGGAATAATAACTGTCAGATTCTGTTATCTTTTTTTTTGGTTTGTTTTATTTTTTCTTTGAAAATACAACATTCAAATGGTATTCTACTGAAATGGTGTTTGCACTCACAACATAAAGTTTACCTGACGAAAAGAAGTTTTTCCTAATGGTGTTGGCAATTAAAACATGGTTGTGGAGCAGTTAAATCTTAAAGCCAATAATGGGGAGTAACTTGCAATGATTTGTTTACTGGATAGCTTCCTATAGTTTATGTACACCTTCTTGGAATGTGTCTTCCTTACTGTAATTCATTCTTTGGACCTCATACCGCACTCACTCTGCCAGCAGAAATAATGAGACATTTCCTTGGCCTCTGTGGAACTGTTTACTTCAGGCATTTCTGAGTAGAAGCAATATTTCATTTTCTGAACACGCTTGCTGTTCTGGCCTGGCCAGTTGCTACTTAACAAGAAATCTTCAGTGAAAAAAATACCAACTCTGTGCCTTTAACAATTCTTCCCGTATTGTTTTATTTAAGTTTCTGCATTGATGCACTCGCGCCTTGTGAGGATTTTGCTTGATTTTCTCAGAAGCAAGTAGAGGATCAGATTTGTTGATACTATGTTTCGGGCATTGAGTTCCTTTAGGTGAATTCTGACAAGGGCAGGGAAGGATCACTCACCAATTGACTTAGGGAAAAAATCAATTTGATTAGCTACCAATCAAAATCAGAGTTGGGCAATGAGAGATGAAATGGGTACTGAAAACTTTTCCCCCCACCCCTCTGTTCTTCCTGGACTCAGCTTTGCTCCCCATTTCTCTACCTCCTCTGCCCCAGCAACACAGGGGGATGGGGAGTGGGGGTTGTGGTCAGTCCATCACACGTTGTCTCTGCTGCTCCTTCCTCCTCAGGGGAGGATCCTCACACTGCCCCTGCTCCAGCATGGGGTCCCTCCCATGGCAGACAGTCCTCCACCAACTTCTCTGATGGGAGTCCTTCCCACAGGCTGCAGCTCTTCATGAACTGCCCCAGCGTTGGTTCATCCCATGGGATGCATTCCTTTGGGAGTAGCCTGCTCCAGCACAGGCTTCCCATGGAGTCACAGGCTCTTTGGGCACCTGCTCTGGTGTGGGGTCCTCCCCGGGCTGCAGACGGGTCTCTGCTCTCCTGTAACCCTCCATGGCTGCAAGGCCCAGCCTGCCCTCTCACCACGGGCTGCAGGGGAACCCCTGCTCCAGGCACCTCCTCCCAGCCTTCTGCACTGAGCTGGGTGTCTGCCTGATTATCTCTCACATCCCACTCCTCTCTCTGCTGCAGGTTCTCTTTGTTTTTTGTTCTTAAATCTGTTAATCACAGAGGCACTGAGGGGCTTGGCGTTGGTCAGAGGTGGGTCTGACTTGGAGCTGGGGAAGCTTCTAGCACCTTCTCACAGGAGCCACCCCTGTAGCCTCTCCCCTGCTACCAAAACCCTGCCAGAAACCCAATACAACTCTGCACTGAGGAGATGCAGTTTGCAGGAGTTTTTATTCTTTATTTTCTAAACTGCTATTTTGTTTTGGTTGTCCTCTTGAGATTTTAGTGCAGACATTGGAGCCAAGCAGTTCACACTTTTGTATTGAAGGACTGTTAGTAATTCCTGATTGTCCCTATAACCTTTGCAGATCCATTCTGAACCTGCTTCTCTTTGCCTTAGAGAATAAGGGGAAAATGCCTTAGAATTATAGAAACATGCAAAATAAATGATGCAGCAGTTCTATTATTGGTAGCACATGTGCATGTTCAGCTTAGCAAGCCTGATGGCACACGCTGCTTTCCTCATGGCTTGTAATCAGCAGTACCAGTTACCATGACACCAGCCTCAATGGAGCAGTTGCAAGAGAATCACAGTTGCTTTTTTCAAGACGCGTCAGTGTGCTTGTCTTCATCAGCTGTTTTGAAATTATTAGGATGTCTGCATGAGTACGTATTAGGTTTGCAGCTGAAGTTGTGAATAGGAGGTAGTCAGGATAAACACTGGTGCCTAATGTTTCCGATCCGGTGCACTTGCCAGTATGTTTCTGGATTTCCGATGTAGACAGCGACACTGAAATCTCAGCATGTGCTGATGGTTTATCCAGACACTTTTCAAGTGGGTGTTGGCTTGCTTAAGGAAAGCTAACTTGCAGCCTTTTATACTCGTATAAAGTTTCTCTCCAGGCCTTGTACTGGGTTAGACGTCTATTCTGTCTGTTTTAGAGGTGGAAAAAATTCTAATCGGCACATTTCTTTGTGTAGCGGTCAAGGCCTTTGAAGGTTAAATTTCTGTCTCTTTCATAATGTAATAATATACTTTAGGAATACAAAAAAGTGCTGTCTAGGTTTGTTTTAGTGGTCATGGTCTCTATCAAGCACGTACAAACCAGGAGTTGATACCGCTGTTAAGCAGGAATTAATACCACTGTTTAAAAGATGTGAATTCACATTAAAATAAGGTGGATAAAACTTCAGCATCCCTGGATGAAAGGGGAGAAGCTCTAGTTAGTTCATCAAAGGTTTTGATAAAATCAGTGAGTAGGGAAGTAATGCAGAGTCCACTGGAAATGATCAGGGTGAAATCATACATATAAGTGTATGGAAGGGTATTGCAGTCTTTGACTTTAAGTTCAGATGAGAAAAATACTTTGTGGTATTTACTCTTTAACTGCTTTTAAAAAAACCTGGTCTTCCCTATGTTATTTTGTAAATTTAACATATTTGTGTAATATATATATATTACATATATAACTAACACAACTAATCTTAGAAAGGAGGCAAGTCTTACTGGTTGTGTCAAAATATCATTTTTTGTAGGAATATCCAAGAGTAAAAATTGGTGTTTTCATTGAACAACCCACTCCTTTCCTACCTAAATTTTTAGACAGACTGTTGACTCTGGACTACCCAAAGGAGGCATTCAGTATCTTCATTCACAATAATGTAAGTATGATGTTACTATTGTGCAAAGGTTCAGTGTTGATAATTATCATATGAATGAAAATATATGAGGGAGTATATGTATTCTGTGTATGTACATTGTTAAACTGCATAGGAAGAGATAATTTTTTAGAATTTAGTATGCAGAAGTGGAAAAATACACAAATTAAATGAAATTGTGGCAGTGATTGCAGAAGTTTGTTTAAAGAAGCTGCTTAGATTCTTTCTCTTTTAGCTGTGGAAAAGATTGTATTTTAAATTGTATCCTCTAGAGGAAGTACTGCTTGACATAAAACAATAGGGTAGAGTAAGAATAGAATAGTTCTATAGAAAGTTTCATCTTGTTGAGACCCCAGTACATTTTTGTTTCTCTTGGTATTCCTGTTGAGTGCCATGGGAAAGACTGGTGTGTTCTGGTACATTTTGAATGGCAGTACAGATAAGTTGCTTTTTTGAATATTTTTGAATGCTTTTTGCTAATTACCTAATGATCTGGTGTTGCTCATACTTTACCGGAGATTTCAGTATTTCTGTTTTCATGAGGGAGGTGACAGATATGTATAAGTCTTTTGGAAAAAAAATGGGCCAGAAGAGAAGTGGGAGGAAAATAAAATTCTGCCCTTTTTCACATGGCGTGCATTATTGTTGATATCATAGCACAGAAGGCCTGAGTAATAGAAGTAGTTTATCTCAAAAGTGTTCAGTGTACTCTTGTAAAGGAATCTTAAAGGTATAAATGTGATATGCACATAGGAATTGTAGGCTCTGCTAGGTTTTGTTGCTTCAGCCAGAAGTCATAAAATATTTAAAATGAATATAAAAGACTGAATAGCTTTTTTTTTGTCATGGTTGTGGGGTGAGAAGAGGGGGAACTCTACCTGATATTTTAATTATTCTACTGTCAGCCATGATACACAAAGGCTACAAATGGGGCACTGGGTTGGAAGCACTGCATGCAGCTCAGATCTCTGAAATTAGAGGTAGGGTAATTAGAAATGAAAGAAACAATCACTGTAACTGTCACCTGGGTGCCTGTGGCAGCTCCCTCTCTAAAGCCATTCTGGAGTGGCATAAAAAACTGCTGTGTGTCCCTGAGGTTGTAGGATGGGTTTTGAAGTTCGTAAAATAAATATCCTGAAAAAATACTGCTTAAACAGTGTGTGAATCTTGCATTATTGGTCTGGAGGTACAGCTCTGATTTATATTGCTGATGTGTTGGATTCTTTCGCCAAGATTTTTGGACAGAAAATCTTTATTTTAATGACAGATATACTGGAATATCTTCAAATACTGTTTGCCATGTGTTTGTTTAGGATAGAATACAATGTGTTCTTGGACGCTATGTTTATGATTTCACAGCAACTTCTATTTTTCATTCACTATAAACAATATTAACATGATTACAGGAGGTTTACCATGAAAAGCACATCAAGAAATTCTGGGAAAAAGCCAAGAACACTATCAGAAATATAAAAATTGTTGGACCTGAAGAAAATCTGAGTCAAGCAGAAGCCCGGAACATGGGAATGTAAATTCTAATTTATAAATCTATTATAATGATGCACATACTAAGTCTGCCCTCTTTTTTTTTTTTTTTTAAATTAAAATGACATTACATTTAAGTAAAGATATGTTTAATGCTTGACCTGGTCATACAGGTGACAATTCTATTTCTTCCTGTGGTTCAAAGAGACATGAATGTCCTTTAGAAGTGTAGAAATTTCTGATTTCAGGGAAGGAAAAAAAAAAAAGGACTTGCAAAGGCAACTGACTTTCTCTTAGCCTTGGTCTTGCCTTTTTTTTCTTTTTTTTTCCTTCTTTTTGTTCTTACTAGGGAATCCAACTCCTCACCTTTTAAACCTGGCACTTTCCGGGCCTAAATCTGAACCTTGGAGTATGTATCCCATGGCAGACTGTCAAGGGATCTCTTTAGTGACTGTAGCACTGGCTACTAGCAGAGTCACTTGTGGCTCTCCCAGTATGTCCATCAGTCTGATGTGGAGTTTTACAGACCAGGGTCCTAGCAAACCTCTCTGTGGCCCTTGAGCAGGTTTCATTCTTACATCATTTTTCCAAATCTTCCATGAGTGTCAGAGCAGAAAAATTTATTTCAAAAGGCCATTTTCTTTCATAGCCCAAGGTTAAGGGCATAGCATATCTGTGCATGGCATCAACTGAAAGACTGCCGGTCTATCCCTGAGTCTCTGTGGTGTTCTTGGAAATTTGCTTGAATGGGGTTTTGTTGTGCTGAAGCCACTGTGAAACTAATAGTTGGCTGAGGTCCAAGCCTCTGCCCTGGTCTTTCTAGGAAACACTGCAGATGTCCAGCGGTAGTGTAAGCAGCCCTATGCATGTTTAGAAATCATTCTTTCAGTCTTTCTTACAGACTCTAAAGCAAATGTACTAGGTTTGCAAACTTTCTGAAGTTATGTGTATTAGGTGTAACTGAGGTGGAATTTATGAAGACGCCTTTTCAGCTTTGTTGTTATATATACACCATAAGACAGAATCTTTAATGTAAACAATTTCTGTACTATTACTAAATCTCACACAACTTGTCATCTTTTAGTAGAACCTACTGACTTATAAGTGAAAGAGGTTTTAATATGATATATGCTCATTGCTTGATCTGTGGATAAAAAATAGGAATTTAAGTGTATGTTTACACCAAATAATTTCAAATTCTGTTTTGTAAGGCAGAGAGATAGTCATACTTGTTATGTGTAACCCTGGATACACTTCACTGTGATGTGTTATCCATTGTCTGGATATAATTTGACCCATGTCACTCCTGCTTTGTAAGGCCTCTCTAATGAAGATTCTGTCCTAAAGAGATACATAGCATATAGAGAAAACATGAAGTATAGTCCATGTGGAATGAGACCATGCCAAAATACTAAATCATCCAGAAAGTATAAGTGTTAGTGGTAGGATCTTTCGTGTGAACAATGTAGACATAGTTTGGGTCCTTTCAATTTGACTGAAGCAGGTTTAATTCATCTGATGCTTCCTTTGCACTCCCAGCCTGCTTGGCTGTCCTTGTGAACATCACCAGTTTCTCTGGAACAACTGCATTTTACTTTTCTCAAAAAAAATCTAGCTCAGAAGTAAGGTATGTTCATGGCAAAGGCAGATACTATAAAAATTAGCTGCTTTCAACCCTTCAGCTGGCTTCCAACATAACCTCATTTGTTTCTCACTAATATGAAATGGAAATAACTTGAAAAGAATGATTCTTCAAACCTGTTTAATGTTTTGATTTACTGCCATTGGTAGATTCGGTCTTCTGATTAATGTTCTCCTGCCTCTATCTGCATTATTGACTGATAGTTTTGTTCCATCTGCCTCTTGCACTTGCTTTCTCTCTTTTTCTGAATTAGCAGATTTTAGTATCTCTCTGTTAATTTCCAGTAGATTTAGAATTGATTTGGTCTCCTTGCTTGCACATTTCACATGAAGTCTATTTGTCTGAGACAGTGAATTAGAATTTTCAACACTAAACACATTGGACCAGCTTTAATGGAATTCTGTGGCCCCGGCTTTAGAGGGCAGGGTGGGGGGGAAGGCAAAAGTTGAAAGACCATACATTTTGAAATTATGTAATCAGTTTTCCAGTCATGTTTGCCTACAACTAAATATAATTATGAATATGCAAAATACCCCAAATGCAACAGATTTAAAAACATTAGTTCCATTTACATTTTTATTAGTAGCAAAAGGCAGTGTTTTTGGCTGGAACCCTGGACTGGCATCAAGTCTGTTCGTCACTTGGGTTTAGTTTCCTCATCAGTAGAATGAGGATAAAGGAGCTGAAAAATTTTGGAAGAAATTTAACATCTAATGTCAAGTTCAATATAAGAGTCAGGTTACTATTAGTAATTGTAATTCTGCTAATGGTAAAGCTACATGTGAATTGTGTTCAGTAGTTTTAAAGCTTTGAACAGAATAGGCTAGTAATGGAAAATCCTATAAAGACTTAATTGCTGGGCTGTGTTACAGCCAAAATAAAACCTGCTGGTTTCAACTGGGGCAATCATGTCAGAAAGTGCTGATTAAGAAATTGCTGTCATAAAAATGCATATACATAAGAGAGAAGACTGCCAGTGAAGGAGCAGTCAGTTAAAGCAAAATCAAAGACTAACCAAAGATTTAAGATATGGTTCTGTGTCCAGACATGATGACGTCGGCAGTATTAGGAAGACCATTTATGTCATTTTGGTGTTTTAAAAGTTTGAATCAAATCATTACTCATCTTTTGTGATCAAGTTTGAAGATGAAGGATTGCTTAAATTTATGGAAAAGCTTTACCTTCTAATGTGAATTCCAACAAAGTCATACCTCTAGAGTCCTTTGAGCTGAAGAAAATTTGAACAAAAAGACCCAAGAGGTGTTGATAAGTAGTAATCCTTACCGGAGAGACTAAACCCCGGGTGAAGTGCTGTGTTAGGTGGTGGAGGGGAACGGAGGAGGAGCGGGCAGGAAGCCGTGACAGTGGTTGCTTTGACTTGTATGTAGCCTGTCACATCCCCTCTTTATCAGATCATCTGAAGTCACGGACGTCTCTTCCTTTGCAGAAAACAGTCACAAACAATCCAATCATGTGGAACTTAAACTAAAACAGTGCTTATAGATAAGAAAGTAAAATAATTTTAATGTTTCAAGCTATTGCTATGGAATTAATGAGAGTTCCATTGATAATAGTGTGGAAGATAGACAAAATCAATACCACCTGCATGATAGAAAGCTACTGTTTGTTCTGCTTCTCTAAAAGTATATTTGAGTTACTATAATCTTCAGCTATTCTTTTGGCATAGGAAAGCTGAATCTACTATATTGGATCTTAGGCTAGCAAGTGTACCCTACCAGAACAGACAAATTTGGTCTGTGTATCTTCTGTTTTTATAGTAGAATCTGTCTTCTGCTTGGTTGAAGCTTTCTCTTGAGGGTGTGGGAATCTATGCAAATAATTTATTCTGATAGAAATAGTGTATAAGACAAATTCAATTCCTTTTTCTAATTTCCATTAACTGCCTGTGCAACTCTTCTATATTTTTCTTTACCGACTGTGTTATTCTTTTAGGTCACAGAAATATTAAGAAAAGGTCTTTATACTTTTTGTCTTAGACTCTCCATAAGATTTCAATTACTATGCAGATCACATCTGTAGCATCTTTGCCCAAAGTCAGTGTTACAGCCACATGCAGTTGCTTACTAGAAAAGCTTACTTAATAAGCTCGTACCTCACTGTTAGGTGACTCTACTGGCATCCAGCTATATAAATTAGTGACTTTATTCCCCTATTCCCCTTCCCCCCTGTTTTCCATTAAGGCATAGTAGCTCTTACTGAACTTGGTCAAGGTTAGGGATCACTTGTTTATTAAAAAAAAAAAAAATCTGATCCATGTTTTCAAATCTTATTTTATCACACTACTGTAATCTAAAGACACTTTTCTTTTACAATCTTACTCTACAGAGGGCTTTTAATGCAATAGATGAGTAGAGCACTTGGTTGTGGTTTGAGGTTTATTGTGTGTTTTTTTTTGTTTGGGGGTTTGTGAATCTTTGTGGACATGTGGAAGTTAACCACTTCTTTTTGTCTTTTTAGGGACCTTTGTCGCCAGGATAAAGCATGTGAATATTATTTCAGTGTAGATGCAGATGTTGTGCTGACAAACCCGAAAACTTTAAGAATACTGATAGAACAGAACAGGTGTAGTATATCTCTTGGTTTTACAGAATTTCCTCTGACTTGAAGGAATTCTCTGGGGCTTATCCAGAGGAAATAAGATCCCGTCTGTTCTTGCAGAGTTAAATCCTCTTTGTTTACCTGTGGTATTTGATTGCCATAGTTCATAATGGGCTTGGGGGCCAGCAATTTACAAAACATTTTGTTTCTGTCAAGCAGCAATTCCTGATATGAATTTCAAATACTTTAAAGTTCTTCTGAAGAAAGTGGTATGATGTAAGCAGGTTTTATGAAATGAAATAAGATTTCAAAGTTGGTCACATCCCAAATGTTAAAACAGTCTTCCAACTCCAAACATCAAAATGCCCTCCCTTCCCCCCAACCACTCAAAAACTCCCTAGAGTTTATTACTTTAGTATTGCAGTATTATTACATTCTTTTTAAAATCATAGATGCAATAAAATAGTGGAAAGATAGTGCAAAGATATTGAAGAGGAAAGAACTGTAATGACCAGTTTTGCCTTGTATTAGTATGATCTCGTAAGTTATACAGAGCTGTGACTTTATCAGCAGCAGCTTTCAGCAGACTGGGCGCACTGTGAATAATGTGCACTTCACTCCTGCCAGTCTGTAATTTCCCATGTTAGGTAGGTAGGTGATGTTTGCCTCTTCATAATAAATCTGGTACTCAGGTGTATCAGAGAGAAACTGTGAATGTTTTTTCTGACTTACTAGTGATAAGGGATGGAGCTTAAGTAAAGATGTGGCTAATATAAAGATGCAATGCTTTGCATTGTATTCCTTGTAATACTGTTGTAGAAAGACACTAAAAGCCAGGTACACTAGGTGGAAGAAACAGAAGCTTTGCAAAATATACCTACCAGTAGGCCCCCTCTGAAAATAAGTGCCATTTTATTATTTTTATTCTGGTCAGCTTAAATTTCTCCTTTTGACTGTTAAATTTGGGATAAGCTAGGTTTCACTGTGTGGGGTTTTTTTTTCCTCGTTTCTTTTTTGTGATGGTTTTTATCATTATGCTATGCACAGTATGTTTTTCTTTCGCTTGACTGAAACCAACCCACCTCCAATTTGTAGGAATCTTTGGCTCTGTTTTACTGATGTTTCTGGGCAGAGGGTACTTCCAGCTTAAGTTGTTCTGAAATCTGACAGCCATTGGTGTTTTAACTGTGCTATACTCCACAAACTGAGGACCCCTGGTATGTTTTCACATATAACAATTCATATTTTCTTATTCAATATGTCTCTTCACAGAAAGATAATTGCTCCACTCGTTACTCGTCATGGGAAGCTTTGGTCCAATTTCTGGGGTGCTCTGAGCCCAGATGGCTATTATGCTCGGTCAGAAGATTATGTTGATATTGTTCAAGGGAACAGAGTGTAAGTAATTGTAAGATAATTTTTAAAGTCAAGGCAACCAGTATGGTTATTAGCAACATATTCATGCAATCTGGTATTCCTGAGGAGTTTAGGTTAGTTTTACTTTTTAGCTTTTTATGTTTCATAGGAATACATTTGTTTTCCCATTGTTTTTTCCCATTCACAGCTTGAATAAAAAGCAAAGTGTTTAGCACAATGACCTGATATTAGTAATGGACATAGTTATTACTAGTACCTGCCTGACTGTGTCTGGTTATGCTACCAGTGTGTAACACAGAAAATGGCAAGACAAATAGCAAACCCAAAACACTCTATCCCAGAAACCTCAGTCAAAAGAAATTATTTTTGCATTCATCAAATGATTACTTCTCTTTAGGGCAAATGTTTAATCAACTGAACAACTATGATTTCTTCATGTTTTCTTCCTGTCAGATATATCCTAAGGAGCTCTAGAAAAATACTTTTGTCACATAACTTTTGGGGTTAGTCCTTTCCCTAAATGAATGTGATGTAAGTTGTTCTAAGCTAGACTTTCCCATGTGGTGATGCCTTTCAGTTGCCCTGGAAGAACAAAAAGGTCTGAAACAGATTGGCTGCTTGAATAGGACTGGCTAGTTTTCAGTCCCCCTGGAAGATGTGCTCGTGGCGCTGGGAGGGGGAAAATCTGCAGATGGAGCATTGTGACACCAATGCTTTTTTGTTGCTATTGGCCCAACTGACATAAATACGTGGCCTGCTGTGGTGTGTGCGTATTTGTGTGAGGAGGTCAGACCAGCTGTGTGAAGCCTCAGTGAAGTCTTTAAACTCACTTAAAAAATCTGTTTTAGAATTACTTTTTTCATCTGGTAATGTAGAATAATATTATAGGAAAGTTTGACTGATTGCCTTAACTATGGAAACATGAAGCACATTTGTAGTTAAAACTCTTTAGAGAATTTGACCTTTCTATTTTTTTTATGACAATACATCATAAAAGTTGAATCAAAGCCTACGCCTACGTTTGAGATGTCTACAACATCCAGCTGTAGTTTGTCAAATGTCTTGGGAACCTTTCAGCTTCATTTCCTTGAAACTTGCTTAGTCTTGTCAGCAAATACAGATATGCTGATTTTATAGAATAGGCAATAAATTAGTTTTCATGGCTTTAAAATATTTGCATTTGTGGTTTGTGTGTGTTGTGTTTTGTTTTTTTTTTTTCAGAGGAGTATGGAATATTCCTTATATGGCTAATATATACTTAATTAAGGGACAAACTCTCAGATCAGAGATGAAAGAAAAGAACTATTTTATGCGGGA